ATGCAAATGAATATGGGTGAATTCCATATTTGCTAACATGATTTTGGCATACAAGACAAAGGATAAATTACCATTCAAAGACCATTGTAGCATGTGTCACAATTGAAACTGACATACGCAAATACATCCAGATATAGATGCGTGTGCACACTGTGGATGTCTCAGAACAAGGGCATTTATGTGTTTAGAGCCACATACATGATATATGCATATCCAGCAGCAGAACATACTAAAAATTGATATGGTTAAAAAAGTATCTCAAGCTGCTTTCTCAGTATGCCTACTCAAGTGAAAGTGAATAATATCTATTCGCGTTCACATGTTGATAAATATGGATATACAAGCTTTTGAACCTTGTTTAATATCAATGGGATATCTTCATTGAATGAAAGTGGAAATGGATATGGATCTGCAATATCCGCCAAACTGCTTTCACCTCTAGTAGATTTTTCATTTTTTTATTTTTAGTCAAAATATCTGCCAGTCATCTGCTCCCACAACCTCACTACAGGTGAGCCTACTCTAGTCCAAAAGCACTAATATCAGAAATACTTTTTACTAGGTGTATTAGTTTTATGTTAATCTTCTTTTACATTTCTGCACAACATTTCATCATAATTTTTATCTGAAAGCATCTTTAGCCAATAGAGTGGAATATCCATGGACACGCGTATATTAGGTTTCCTAAGAGGCAACCACATCAGTTTTTCTTCAAAACATTGTGGGTACAAAACTGCATCTGCTTTCCAAGTATCATAGTCAGTTGAGCAAACACTGAGTCTACCAAATATTGTAATCTTATGCGAGTCTTGTGAAATAGTTGTTTGCCCTCCATTAACTTCTACGCAATAAACCCATTCACATATGCTACCGCCATTTCAGGTATGTGATAGTAACTTGGAGAGAAGCCCTAGCAGATGAAATGCGTTGCAGGTGTCAAGATTTTAACCCATTACCTAACTTGACTAATCACTTATCAAAACCAATTAAACACAAACTACAGTCACGAGAGAGATTCTGTTGTATCTGATACCAGCCAATAGCTACACGAGCCAAGCAAGAGATCCAACTAAAAACCCATTCAAATTCTTCGAAAGAATATAATGGTTTCAGCTTTCAAATTTATGTAGCTCATACAGTAACGGAGTAACCATAAGCTGAATCAACAATATCTATATACGGATAGATCAACAAAATTTTTGGTAGAGTCATCCAGACAGAGGCCTCCAGCAGAGTGGGAACCGGATTCCAAAAACCAAACAGCGTAAATGTTTGCTCAGGGTCCTGGGGTCATGGAATCTATCTAAAAGAGTCAGATTTTTTAAATGATACCTGGCCTTGTTGCAGTCATAGATACAGCTTTAAATTGATGTTATAGCAAACCACTACTTAATATGGCACCTTGGTGGGATCACAACTTCATGATTAATTATTACTGATGCACACACGTAATACACATGGAGGAAAAACAGTGTTACGCTTGGCTGGGATGTTTTAATGTAATATTAATGAAAATTGTGTGATATTTAAGAACAAGCATATGTTAGTAACACATATTATGAATACGCCCAACCACCAAACTACACGGGAAACGTATATTGCAGTTAATTGGGCACGAAACAGTACATACCAAATGTCATGAAACAGTTCATCATGACCATCCCATGTTTGGAAAAGAATGCCCACTTTTTTTGCAAGAAAGAGTCTAACCCGATAATCAGTGTCTTGAAGCAGTGCTAGAAGTCTTCCAATCATAACCTAATGCATATAGAAGAAACAGGTTAAAACATAAGCACAAGAACATATTCAACAGAACTATCGAATGAAAAAAAGATAAACTAAATGTATCACCTGTGCAACATGAGGTTCAAGCAACACAAAATTGCAGATGCAGTCAATTAGTGTAATACGAGCAAACCAATCAGGTAGACCAGTCTCTGCAACTTCATTTACCAAGCCTGCAAGAGAAGATAGATTCTGCAATTCACAAAAAAATCGAGATTAGACCATTTTCCAGGAGCTAGCACATTAATGGAATCGCTAAAAATAATCAGGAAATATGAAGCTAATAAGAAAAAAGATTATAAGAGTTAGAATCCACATGGTGCAACATATTAGACAAAAACACAGACCTTCACTGCAAAAAGAATATGAATATTTTTACCCTTCAAAATAGAGAAGACAACAGGTCCGCATCACCTAACAGGTCAATAGGTAGGCAAGCTTTTCTCTGGTTATGAAATACAAACTCATACAACCAAACAAGAAGAAATTTTGAGCATGAAGTGCATAACCCAACCCAAGTATGCAGTTAAAGGTTTATATACAATGAAAAAGGGAAGGGAGTAGTACTTAGTGGACAAAAAGCTACATTGACTAACAAGTTACCTCAGACTACATAAAATTCATCAGATGAGCAAAATAGGATTCATGCGACTAATGCTGCTTGAACAGCGAAGAATTGGCTAGGTTGGACTTGCATTCACCCAATTCATGTAAAGGGATTCACAGCCTTATTGAACTTGTAAATATATAATATTCATTTAGACAGATGCTACATATATCTATTAAATTGTACATGCAAATTACTAAATCACCATTTAAATTCCTTAAACCATCTTAATGAGAGCAACACAAAAACCTAAGCATACCTCTTCAGGAACTGTTATCCGTGAATATTGCACGTCATCAACAAGCTTGCTCCTAGAAGATATTGACAGTAAGGTCGCAAGCAAAGCATGTATAGCGGATAATATATTGACACTGTATAGTTTCACGCCCACATTTGTCCCCATTATGTTGATAACCAAACTGACCTACCAAACAGAAAATATATAAGTATATTGTAGTAATATAAGCCATGAGCCACTCTAACCAGTAAATAACTTCTTAGTACAACACTCTACATGAAAGAAATTGGAGGTATATCAATAATTTACACAACATAAAATAATAGTCCGCAATACCAGTGACGAAAATGATCCAGCAGAACCGTGAAAATATTTGCAGAGATTATAGAGAATATTTTCAGAAACCTGATTCAAGAGAACAAAGTGAAATGTAGCACAAAAAGTCAAAAAAATCAAAATTAAAGTAGAGCCCCCTCATCGATAGAAGATATGCATTACCTTATCATCATTCTCTTTTTCTATCATATCAAACAAGGTTTGCCAAGTAAGAGGAGGTGATAGTGAGAAAAAGGCCGAAATTATTGAGACCAGTTTCAGTTTCCACTGTGAAGGAGAGAAAGAAACCACTTTATTGCTCCCGCCAGCACCAAAAGACTCAGCATTTTTTGAACCATCATCGATGTCCAAGTCCATATCAACAATCTGTGCTCCAGATTCATCCATGGGACTAAACCCTGGAAGATAAGTAAAAGAAGATGGAGAAATTCCATGTGCTCTGATCTCAGAATTACTGGCACTTGCATAACTGGAAACTACAGCATACAGTTTAGTTAGAGCCGCCAGTATATTTTCAGTAGAACGGATGACTACTTCAAGTAATTCATAATTTGAAGTACTTTCCTTGGGAAGACTAAAGAGGGGACAGGAAAGAAGACACTGAAAAGCAGAGACACTTGCTCCAGATGCATCAAATACGGAGCTTAAACCAACAAAAGCACAGTCCTTAATTTCATTACATTTCTCCTCAACCTTGCAAGCAATAAGATCCAGCAACTTTGAGACAAAATCATGCATCTTTGTCATGCATGCTGGTTTCATTTCATTTAGCCTGAAATAAAGTACACAGATAATGAGAAGTTAAACAAGCAATTTAAGATTACAAAGTAACATCTCTACAAAAATGATTTTATTCTGAAATAATTTAACTCACTTGTGAGGGGGGAAATAAATCTAATACATGAAAGTAACTGAAATGGTTCTTATGTCTAAAAAATCATGGTGCGCATCAAGATACAGACAATCATATCCTCAACATACCAAGTCATAAGTTGTGACGTCCCTGGTTTCATACAAGGCTGCAATCCAAGGTGAACCCAGAGATGTCTAACTTGTCATGCACCCACACTGTGCATAAACACGTTTCACTAATCACAGCAATATCCTCTAGTGGAATCAAATAGAAATGCAGGTACAAAACAGACAAAATAAGGGAATAAATGTAATAGACATGATATAGAAAAGGTATCTCATAAATAAAAAAATCATGTCTCAACTGTAATACATCCGATAACCGAAACAATGAGAATGTCAACATGAATCAACTAGAATCGTACTAAGACACACTGCCTTTACAAAATTAGAATGAAACTCTAATGTCTAAATAAAACATAAAATCTACTGTGGAGCCTCTAAAAACTTGTGTGACGGTAACTATGCAAGAACTTTGTCATCCTGCGGCTCTCCGTACCTATGTACCGCCTGAAAGAAGAGAAAACAACAAAAAGAACCACATAAAGAGCGTCAGAACACTACAGCAAGATCACCACCATCCGCCCCCAGGAGAATGGCTATTAGATGGAGTGGTGGCTCTATCTATAAGCATAGTTTACCTAAATTTATTTTTCCTGTATCTAAGTGGAATTAACATTTAGAAACCTACAACACGAGACGTAGTACGTCGAGCGAAATAATGCAAACAAGGAAACCCTCATGTATATACCATTGTCTCAAATTGTAGATATCTAAACATTAATACTGAACCAAGAATAGACAATCTAATGAAATCAACAATTAGAAATTCACAACACGAGACTGGTACGTCGAGCAAAATAATCCAAACAAGAAAACCCTCATGTATATACCATATGTCTTAAATTGTAAATCGCTAACCATTGATCTCAACTAAGAAGTAAAGAAAACAGTAAAGAAATATATCATACATTGTATTTATGATATCTTCCACAATCACTAGGGAGATAAAATAAATATCAACATATACTCCCGTATACTTTCAAGAGCAAAGTATCTCGGTCATATATCTCAAAGATGAGTTGAACTCATAACTGACATCCACCTAAAATTTAGGCTATAAATCAACAATCTCAATATAACGGACTACCCTATAGGTATCCTGAACTGTGTACATGACTCATTAGTCTCATCGCGATCTCAGCACGTAGTCTGAGTGCAGGACGGCCTATCATATAGGTATCCAAATAAATGGCTCACAAGCCTCATAAATAGTCGGCTCACAAGCCTCATCGTACCCTCGTGCGGACGGACTGCTATACAAAGCATCCAAACCCGACTCAACGGCCTGTACATATGGAATATCGACACACTATCTCATGTAGCACTGAACTGAGCTCATCAACGACATTCATTTCATGTATAATTTGTGTATATTGGTATATCGACGCACTATCTCATATAGTGTTGAGCTGGGCTCATCAACGATATCCAACTCGTGTATAACAACTTCTAATTCTGACAAACAACCCAACTCTTGTCAAAACCCCCTTTGGGTTACTCATGTGTGCAATGACACTATACTTGTATATTCGTGAATTTACATGTAAGGAAGTACGGCTCAAACCCGCAAACACAACTCAGCCAAAAACAAAACAAAATTCAGGAAATCAGCTTTAGTAGTCGACTACTAGACTGAGTAGTCGACTACTCTAAGTTCATCCAGAATTTGGGAAAATCGAACTAAGTGTGAGTAGTCGACTACTATACACATTAGTCGACTGCTCTGCTATGAGAAAATTTTTGTATAATGAATTTTAAGACAGAGTAGCCGACTACTCATCTTAATTATCGACTACTCTGCATGCAACTACAAACTGATATGCGCAAATAGGAATTTAACTAAACAATTTGCACTTATGAAATCTCAAACAGGATTTACACGATTTGCCTACATTAAACAGAGATTATTTTGATCATAAACATAGAATTATCTTGGTTCAATTAAAGTTAACACCTTCATTAATAAATCTCTTCATCTAATTACATATAAGCAACATGATTATGAAAACATGGTGAAAACTACACATGACGTTATATTTCGTTTTAAATCTGATTTCAAAGCCTAGATATCACAACCCTAGGTTTTAGCATGATAATATACAAGGAAAACTCAATTAATTATCAAATTAGGGTTTTGCACATAAGTTAAACTTAATTAACAGGTTTCAAACGAGAATAAAATTAAACATAATGCTCATGATCATATTTCTAATGTTAACAGCAAAAAAAAACATCAGATCTAACATAGGTTACAGATCTATTATAAAAAAAACCTATCTTTTATCACATCAAAAAGAGAATCAAACATATAAACTTGGATTTAACACTTTAATCATGAAATTACTAAGGGTGCAGGAGTGGATGAAGATAATATTGCCTTAGAGTGCTGCTGGACTCCTCAACCACGTATATGCAAGGCTCCCCTTTAACCACGATCTCAAACTCCGCCTTCCTCTCGACAAACGCCTCAAACTCTCCCAAAAACTCATAATTAGGGTTAGGGTTTGAGGAGGAAGGTGGCTGGTGTTAAACACACATGAAAGTGGGTAGAAAGAGCTTTAAAACGAGTATATATATGCATATATACAACTGGATTTGAAACAAAACGAATCCGACCCGAAATCTGAAAGAAAAAACTAGAAACAGCCTCGATAGTCGACTACTACTCAGAGTAGTCGACCACTAAGCTGGTTAGTCAACTACTAAGCTGGTTAGTCGACTACTCTGAGTAGTAGTCGACCACTAACCATTGTTTTAAATATCCCCGACATGGTCCGATATATCCCCCGATATATCCTTTTACAGGGCTTGCCGCAACCGATATGGTCTTTAAATATCCTTTATCGCTTTTTGGCTATTTTGAGTGATAAATCCCCGATATGACCGATATATTAGCCGATATGTGGACTAATATATCTTTTTTATATAGCTTGTTCCAAAATAATATACCGTGTTTGGAATTTTTGGGCGAGATATCAAGATTTTCCCATTATATCAAATGACATTTTGCCCTAAAAAAAGCAGATCGAATGTTGCAACGTTGCTTTGCACTTTTGTTTGTTTTAGAAGGTTGATTAGTGATCCTAAACATATACTATTCATATTTTGTATGCCTAAATTTTATTACATATGTTGAGATTACATTTTAATGCATTATACTATGTATGCAAACATTCATTATGGCATTCCGATATTTACCACATATCCCCGATATTTCCCCGATATCCGCAATCCGATATGAATTTTGACCATCCGATATTTCCCCGATATCCGATATTTAAACCCTTGCCACTAACAGCCCAGAAACAGGTTTGTGCATGTTTTCGTGCATGTTTTCCATCTATACTCACATATATACATTGGATTGATCTCAAATCAATCCCTAGCATACTCAAACATCAATATATATTATCTATCATCATATAACATATTTATTATTATTTGTCATAATATATTAAAATTTACGGGGTTTTACATAAGTGATGGCTTGGATGTGTGTTACGTCAGTGACAAACCAACCAACCAACAATGTGAGCTAATTACATAACCCTAACCCCGACCCCAACCCTGACACCTGACCCTGGTCAATTATATAGTACATAAACTAATTTAAAATGCTCACCATGTACTTCACGAACGTATATCTTACACTTAATATCTATTCTCTGAAACTTTTTTGGACAAGGGTCGTGTTTTCAGCACCTACTCAGTCCAGGACTTTGATTTTAGAGGGTAGCTTGCGTAGCGAGTTCAAAAACTGGCACGCCCAGAGAGCCCATTGTCCCGGTGTGAGCTATAGGACCCACCGAATGCAACACGTTGTTTGTCTCTGTCCGCTGTCAAAAACAACTAGCTGATGCTCCCTGATGGAGATCGAGCGAAGAGCTTTGATCAGTACATCATTCTAGACTGCATCACACCCTCTCCATTATTCTTGCAGAGTAGCTTCAGAACTCTGCTCCACCAGGCGCCTATGACCCTTGCTTTATGCCATGTTAATAATACCAAGCAGTTGCTCGCTTTGTGGGTCGCCTCCAAGACGTCGCAATAGATCTCAGTCCCTTCTTACAGTACATTTGTTTCTGGATCTCAAAATTTAAACACTACATAAATCTTCATCCTCCTCATTCGCTATCATAACCGAGACAAATCTGGTAACTTTTAGAAATTCAACAAGTGCTACCTCTTTGCCTAGACTCCCTTCATCTCTATGCAGGCTATCTTAGACGAAAATGTTTACATAAAACTCCTAGAATGTCTACCACATAATTGGCCTAGAAAGCTTTTTTTCTCTTTATCCCACCAAGTCCTAGCTACATTCACGAACTGCATGGATACAATATTCACCACATCTTCTTTTGCTACTTCTGCTACCCTCAAAAGACAACCCGTGGATTTCAACCACATGTCTGCCTTATATCCTTCCTCTATCTCAATAAACTTAGACGGTTCAACCTTTTAAAGTCAGAGATGTTGCCCTACCCCTTTGCAGTCTGATGTTGCTCATCTCTATGCAACTAACTCTCTGATCGCCCCTGCAAGCTTTGTTTGGTCAATATCTTGTCCCTCTAACCTAAATAGAGCACATTGTGGAGGCATGGAGATCACCTTGACGTGATCCAGAAGAGATACAACCTAAGCTTGATCTTTCTCCTCTAGTAATCGATCCCCCCTCTTCTTTTTGTTTCTCTTTTTCTTTTTCTTTTTTTCTTTAATTCGGTATCTGAAGAAACAAGAGAGACTATAGTCTCTCTTTTATCTTTACATGAAGGTAAAAGAATTGTGAAGAAATGGTTAGGATTTGTTAAAATCTTCTTAATTTTAGTGATACAAGAATTAGTGGATTAGAGTGAAATCTAAAAACAATAAAAATTTAAAATAAAATGAATAATAAAAAATCGGTCAAGTGGGCAAAACATGTTGTATAAAAGGTTATGGACTTTCTTTAAATTTGGTGTTGCAAAACATAATTTGAAGTATTAATTATTCTGGGTGCTTTTAAAAATTCTCAGTTCAGATCATAGCACCAACCCAACTAGCATCATGTAAGCAAGACAAGGCATTTCATTTTTGTGCTAAGCTTGGGCACGTGAAGGATTGTAGGAAGCCCAATGGTCTATGCCTCCTTTGTGGTGCAGCTGATCATTAGTCAAACCAGAGGGATAGCAAATTACTCAAACAGAGCTTGCAACGGTGATCAGGGAGTTAGTAGCACAGAACTGTCAAAGAGATGAGCAACATCAAGCAACAAAAGGGAAGGGTAACACCTCTTACTTTCGAGAGTTGAACCCATCTAATTTTGTTGGGACAGAGGAAGGATATGAGATGGACGAAGGATATGAGATGGACATGTAGTTGAAAACCATGGACTGCATTTTTGCGCACAGGAAAGTAGCAGAAGATAGGTTGCATATCGTACAGCTGCAGTTCGTGAATGCAGCTAGGACTTGGTGGGATGAAGACGAAGAGAGGCCTTCTAAGCCAATATGTAAAAGACATTCCGAGAGTTTTCTACAAATATTTTTCCCTAGGACAGCTTGTATAAAGATGTAGTTACAGCTTGTGAGACTAAGGCAAATAGATAGCACTGGAATTAATATGTTACTAAATTTGCGAAACTTAGGAAGATTGCCCAACTATGGTAGCCAATGAGGAGGGCAAAAGATGAAAATTTATGCAAGATTCAGAAATAGAAAAAAGGGATTGACTAATAGAGACGTTTTGGAGGCAGTGTGCAAGGCCGATCAACTGCTTGGGATTTTTAACATAATGCAGAGCGAGGGTCATAAGTGCTCAGCGGGGTACAGTTTTGAAGCTACATATTGCAAGAATAATGGACAGAGAGCATCGACTAGCTGATTTAGTAGTGGATTGAGCCAAATAGGGTGCTACACTTACTAGGTCCCACATCTTACACTGTGCCAATGAGTTTACGGGCTCAAGGCTTGATAAAAAAATCAGCTGTTTTACAATTCGTTATATACATAACAAAAGAAAAATTAAAACGTTAATGAAATTTTGATTTTTGTAACTTGTGTACCAGAAAACACAATATTGATCTCATTTAAATTAATGTAAATTATTAACTTCAACATTAATACAGGCGTATCCTTACAATCTACCTTCTACAATCTTATGTTCTGTACTCGTTCTTGCACCAGTAGCTATGCAACATAGATATAGACCCTAAGGACCTTTAAATCATTGAAGTAATCTGCCAATGAGACATCCGTATAAACTGGGTTCGACTACCCGTATCATTCTTCTCCATTCAGCTTTATAAAGGCTCATTGCCATGTTTCCTCTTTTAGTTCAGCTTCAACTCATGCTCACTAAGATTACCATGACCATCCCGATGAATTCTCCAAAACTTTACCCCCAGTTGAAGTCATCCCCAGCTTGTTAACAAATATACTTGATTTGAACCGTATCTTATTGTGTTTAATAACTAATCCTTCAATTCATGTTCACTAAGATTACCATCTTGATTAGTTCACCTGAATTGTACCCCAAACTGAAGCTATCTACAGCTTGTTATAGATAACCTTAATTTGAGCACAATCTGATTGTGTTTCACCATTAACCCAACTTAATATTCTTATTTCAACTACTGGCATATTTTGGACCAAGCTTTCTTAACCTTCATCCTGACCTGTAAAGTATGGCATTATATATCTCACTAACAATTTTTCTCTCAATGCCATGGGTATCCTACATTTGCAGAATACACCAGAAGTGGTTTCACATATCAACCATCCCACTTAGATTCAATCAAAATTCGCCTCTACAATCGCCAAATCATGAGATTTATCAATCCAAAGTAGGGAAAATAATAACTCCTAGGGATTTTTGGCCACCAAAATGCACAATATCCCATATTGTATCCTGTTTTTGCTAAAATAACATATTTCATTCTAAGCTATGTTCGACCTACTAAATCCTAATTTTTACAAAATGGTGGCAAGTACCTTATTTATCAAACTACCTTCACCGAGCCAGAATAAAGGAGAATGGTGCTAAAAAGCTGACAGCCAACATAAACTTTTAGCGGGGACCTATATAAAATGAAATTTAAACAAACTTTTCCAATATAATGATTTTGGTTATCAGTTTGGCTTCCAACACCAGAGAAAATGCATTAAACTGAAGTGAATCACAAGAAAAAATGAATACATTTAAACTGGATATGAAAATGGATGACACTCCAATTCTACTTTGCTATGGACAAATAAAGTGATTAGCCATGACATTGGGCTAGAAATTGCCAACAAATAGTAACCTATATCCACGCAATATGAAAATAATAGTAATATACCTAAAGAGAGGAGAAAATTTTAAAAAAAAGACAGAAATAGAAGGAAAGTTACCTTACAAATATTGAAATATAGATCCAATTACATAAAAGAGAACAGAAGTTGACAAGATCAGCCAACATTAGCTTCTTGACGCATTCTTCTGAAGCTACAAGAGTGGCAATGTAATCTTCCATTTCATGGATTAATGGTTGCTTTACTTGCTGGGGAAGACGTATGCCATGATGTTGCTCCAATTTCACCTGAAGAAACATATACGTCATAAATGCATGAAACCTTGAAGGTTCAGCGAGAAAGAATAGGAAGAATATGGCACCTCAATGGAACCATTTTCCATTGCTGACAAGGCTTCCACAGAACATTCAATTACTTCAGCGAGAAATTTCTGGTCATCACCCTCCGCCAAGAACTATATTTCATAAAATATCATAATACCCAAGATTAACAAAAGCTGAACAAAGAAACCCCAGAACAGGTATAAATGATAACTTGTAAGACAAATCATACCACAACCTTTTCTTTATTTTCCTCGGACAAGTATGTCATCCCTCCTGAATTAGGCAAATTTGCAACAGAACCAGCACAAAGTGAAAAAACAGCTGCAGGAATGAGTGTCACATCATCTTCACTGAGACAGATAGGTTCCTGCCAACAAATGGAATCCAGATTATGTAGACAAGTTGCAAGCGTCTTGAAGGACTTAAAAAAAGTATGTTACAGCACTGACACCGCCAAATTAGCAAGTTACAGACAAACCTCAAAATTGACTAATTCCATAGTCACTCTCAATAGACTTCTTCTAATGTGCAAAGCATCCCGTAGATCACCCTGATAATTCAAGTAAAAAAGGAATATAAAGCAAAAAATATGCAAACACGCCATGGATTCATATATCTTATATTGGAAAAGCAGAGGATGTTAAACAGCATAGCATTGTTAAGCACACAAGAAGAACCTGCAATGAACCTAGAAGAGCAACACAAAATTATAAATCAAGTGCCACGAAAAGGTCATTTCATCAGGGAAAAAATAAAGGGGAAATGTAGGAGAAAACTGGGAATGAGAAACGAGAACCAACAACCGCGAACCATGGCATTCAAGAGTCAATGTAAAATAACAAGAAGAACAAAAGCGCTCTTGAAAGAGCCCGGATAAAATAGCACTAACAAAACTCATGCAGAACAGCTGACAGGATCAGAATTACTATAGTTGGGATTAGGAAACTTAGTTAGGATTCGAATAACATTATTGGATTTTTATTTGATATCTTGGTTAGATATCTGGTTACTTAGTTGATTTTCTATTTCATTAGTTGATTTGTATGTTTCATTGGTTCTGATTTGTTGTCAGGATTGAGATTTATTTGTATAATTAGGTTTATCTATAAATAACATGTATTCTATTTAAGATATAGTAATTGATGAATAAAAATTATGAGTTTGAAAAATAAGCACGTGACTTGCTTTGTGTGAGTTTAAAGGTGTGAAACCCAAATCCCTTATCTGTGGCATTATTTTATTCATTTTCTATCAGCAAATCAACCCTCTCTTTGATCTGAAGTCACTGTTCATGTGAACAATAATATTTGGTTACTGTTCGCACACCCAAAAAAAACCCTCCCCCTCTTTTCCTTTCCTGCAGCAACTCAAGCCCCTTTGCTCTCTGTCCAGCAGCTCACAACAGCCCCAAACACAAACGCATTTTCCCTAATACCTACCCCACAAGCACCCAATCATTCCCAATAAACATGTCAGACGCTAGAATACAAAAACAGTAATTTTTTTACTTGAAAACTGATACTTTTCAATCCTATATCCACTTGCTGAGTGTAGGCTCAAGAAAGCATCTCAAGAATGGTGGTCTAGAAATTATTTAGGTCACCATTCAGCCATCCACGAAACCAATGAAGTTTCTTCTCGAAAGGAGATATTCTTGTCAACCAACTAGAATATATTACTATTTCTCCTCAAAGCCTGAAGCAAAGTCAACACTAGTATTTCGACAGCTTCCAGATGTCAACTTGCAGTCTGAACCTGAGTTCAATCAAAAAATAGAGCTAGAACCAAAGGCAAAATTCGAGAATGAGCTAGAATCAAGGACTGATCCAAAATGTGAACCAGAAGCTGATGCATATCAAAAGGTCATTCTAAAGTGTGAACCTCATTTGGAGCCAGAAGCATATCAAATAAATCTGGAGCCTGAGGAGGATCTCCAACCAGAAACCGAGTAGAAAGTAGATGCAAATCTCGAGCTCAAATCAAACCCAATTTTCGTAATTGAATTGCAGTTCGAGATACCTCCAATATGTAACAATTGAGGACTTCTAACAGCAGACGGGTAGACCGACTGCTGACCTACACTCGGGATGTGGTTATGTCATCTGTCCTATCTTCTTTGAAAGAATAGAATATGGGAATATTATCTTAATGTCCCCAGTATTCTAGATGCCATCTGTCCCTAGCTTTATATTTAGGAATAGGTATAATGATTTACCTAAATACCCCTGGTTTCATAAACTCGGAAATAACAAAGTTACCCCTACGTGCAAGCTGTAGACTTACGCTTCCCAATCGATTGGCGCGAAAGAATTTATCCCCACCAAACCCAAAATCCCTTTTCTCAGTTTAACTACAGAAGCTATTTCATTCTCTAATGGGTTTTGTTTGCTCTCACTTATTGTTGTGTTAGTAAGAGCAATTTTAGTTTAAAAACAATCAATTGAATTCTAAATTTGAGGTACATGTTTATGATCTTTCTTTTATATATTTCTTTATATTCAGTAATCTGATAGTTTTTTAATTATTCTTTTGTTGATCCTTTAAATTAATTATTTTCATTTGATTATTAATGATAGGTGTTTAATGAAGAACTTTGATTTAAATCAATCTTCATTTGAAATCAGTGATATTAGTGACGACAACGCCCAAGAGGTAGAAGATATGGCGGAGACTGGCAGAAATATTTCACATGAAGAATGTGAAATTATAGAGCCATATAAAGATATGGATTTTAAGACACAAGAATAGGCTTATTCTCATTATAAAAAATATGCAAAGACTTTTGGACTTGGTGTTTCAACCAAAGCATCTTGTCGCTCAATAATAACTGATGAGTTTATTGATGTTAAATATGCTTGTATAAGACATGGAGAGAAGCGAAACTTGGATGCCGTTTATCCTCGGCCTTATTTAAAATTTGGGTGTAAAGTAATGTTGCATGTGAAAAGAATGGAAAATAAAAAAGGGTTGTACATGAATTTATCAAGGAGCACAATCATGAATTTTCACCAATGTATGCTCACTATTTACCTTGTCATAGGGGCATTACATTATCACAAAAACATAATATTAGCACCTTACATGTCGTAGGTGTAGGGGTGAGCAAAATTTATGCATCAATGGCAAAACAACATGGTGGTTACGATAGTGTTGGTTGTTTAGAAGGATATTAGAAATCATGTTGATAAAGAGAAACGTATATCACTACAATCGGGAGATGTCAATACAATGATTGAGCATTTTATGCACATGAGAGAAAGAGATCCTGATTTCTTTTATGCTATAGATTGGGATGAGCACCATTATCTAAAAAATGTCTTTAACGATGTTGCTTCTTTTGATGCAACATACATCACCAATCAATACTGCATGCCTTTTGCTCCTTTCATTGGAGCAAATAATCATTTACAATCAATCATTTTGGGATGTGCTTTATTTGCAAATGAGTCAACCTCAACATTTGTTTGGTTAATGAGAACTTAGTTAATTGCTATCGGTGAAAAACCTCCAACTGCGATCCTAACAGATCAAGACAGGGCAATGAAAGCTGCTATTAGACTTGTATTTCCAAATGCTAAACACCATTTTTGTTTATGGCATATTATGAGAAAGCTTCTTGAAAAACTCTCCCATGTGATAAACAAACATGAGAAGTTTCTTGACACATTCCAAAGATGCATTTATCAGTGTTTTTAAAAGCGTTGTGAGGCGCGTGCCACGGGCGCAAGGCGCTGTAGGGCGGAGGAACAGCGCCCCGCATCAGGTGTGGGGCGTTGTCCTTACATGAGGCGCGCACCTCACAGCGCCCCTCAAGCGTTTTGCATCCCGAATGAGGCGATCGCCTCAGTTCCTGATGCGTTTGAACAGATTTTTAAGCTAATAAAGTCGGGTTATTGGGTATGGACCTAATGTTATCTTAAACCCGATTCAAATGTGAAGCTTATCCAAGAGATCAGATCTGAGTTTAGTGTTCAAAGCTGCTTCTTTCAACTTCCTTTTCCTCTCAAGGGCTACAGTGGCTACTATTGGCTTCTTCTCCTCTCCTCTCAAGGGCTAGGTAAGTTCTCTATCATTTCTTCTAAGTTTTTCTTTCTCTTCTTCTTCTTCTTCTTTTTTTGCTGTTGTTTCCTTCTATTTTTCTTGCTCCTGCTTCTTTTTTTCTGCCATTGTGTTGTTTTGTATTGCTTCTGGCCACTGCTCTCTTCTTGGTTTCCTTTCATTGCTTTTTTCTTTTGGGTTGAACGAACTCCTACTTGGCTGCTGCTATGTTTTTGCATGCCGATTACTACAGTGTTTTTTTCCCCGATTGAATGGATCTCCACTAATTTGTTCTTTACTGCTGGCTGCTCTCACAAAGTTCAGGCTTGGTTAGCTTATTTGAATATTTTAAGATCATTGACTGCATATTTTGAGATCATTGACTGCTAGGTAGTATGTGACAGTGACATTGTTTAATTTTATGTTTATTAACTTTGTTTTAGTAAATATTTACATATTAGTAAATGACACTCATCATTGTAGAGATTTACGATGTTATGGTAATGAAGCTATGATCTAATTGATTTTTTTTGTTAACACTTAAATTGGTATTTAATAGTACATAATACATATGACTATTGAAAATTGAAATTTTCTTGTTTTGTTCAAGCTTATTGCTCTCGTGCTAGTATTAATTCTTTCTTGCTATTTGATGCTAGTTGACTTGATTCACATTCTCTATTTGTAATGTGTAAAGAGAAAATTAAATTTTAGCAATACACTAGTATGAAAGTTTGAATAATTTGTATGATTGTATGGAAATTGAAGTACAAGTGTGATTCACTAAATCTATATAGTATATTATTTGCAAATTTTTGAACTTTGTTGCATAATGTATGTGATTAATAGTAAATTTTGTGTTTTCTTATAGATATATCTCCATCGACGAGTAGTGGTAGAAGACAAGATCCTACATGGAAATATACTTGATTAGTTGTTGATGGGAACTCCCATAGACACAAGTGCATATTTTGTAATAAGATCACAAATTGCGGCATATCACGACAAAAAGAGCATCTTATCGGGACAGATAAGAAACGAAAAAATGTAAGGATTTGTCAAAAAGTCCTTCTCGATGTGGTTTTAGAGCTAAAAGATTATGATGAAAGACAAAAGATAGCTAAAAGAGAACAAGCTATTGATGTCCCCGATCTTGGAGATGAGAACATAGTGGAGGTCGATGATGAGGAGCTTGAAGATGAAGAAGTACAAGCACCTAGAGATAGGGGAAAAGGCTCGGTGGCTCCTAGGTCATCTTTGATAACGGCAAGAGAAAGGGGGAGTGTTGGCTTGCACAGTGTGAGATCTTCCATAGGCCCAAAGAGGAAGGGGTCCATGCATGTATTTCTTACATTCGATTTTGCTCTAGAGGTCGCCAAGAATGAAAGAAGCACAAGTTGAGACAAACGTGTATTGAAAAAAACCTCAACAAAGATCCAGTGGCTAAAGTGCATCAAGATATAGCTCGGTGGTAGTATCAAGTCGGCATTCTCTTTAATGTGGCTCGACTTA